CTTGCCAATCACCACATAACCCATCTAATTACCTTTTTAACACATAATTCATCACCCAAACAATTTCCAACAACATCAATTCCATAATTTTCCTTTAAAGGCCAAGTTGCAACCTATGGCAATTCTAGGATTTCCATTCACTTTTAATCACTCCACACCTCACACAACCACATTATATCATCATATAATCATACCACAATTCATCAAACAATGCCTCAACACAAAATTCCAAAGTCCCAAAATCATGACCTCAAATCCACTAAGTTAAAAATCATCACATTTCACTTAAAATTTTCATTACATTTCTAGCATTAATACATCATTCTAAGGCATTATCATCTAATAGACATTTTCCATTTGAGTTCTCTAACATCACATATCAACCATGCAAGGTCTAGGGTTCAAGATTCAAATCATCACATTCAATCATTTAAAATGCAAGAACACTCACCAAATGGAAGGTACAAGGCTCCTCCTAAACATACTCCACCATTGGAGCACCTAGAAGCTCCATGAACACAAATCTCCAAGCTTGAGCCGCGGCCTTGAGGAGGGATTTTTGCAAAATATAGCTGGATTCAAGGCTTGCCACTAGTGCCAATGTGTTTAGAAGGACTTTTCCAACAAATTTCAACATAAGAATCACTTGATTTGGTGCCAAAATGACTAAGTTATGATGAAAAGAAAATTTGAAGTGGAAGTGGCCAAGCAAGAGGAGAGCTGCGGGTTTGCAAGGAAGGAGGGAGAGAGAAGATGATGAATAGTGTCCTAAGATGATGTGGCTTAAGTGGTTTAAGTGGGGTGGGTCCCACCGCCACCTCACGCAATTTCAAACTCATTTGAATTTTCCTCCGATTTCACTAAACGTCCATAAATTCAAAACCTATTTAGAAACTCTAATTTTTAACATTAACCATTGTCCTTTAATTATACTTGATCAGATAGATCCGGAGTTTTTCGGTCGTTCAGAGAAAACACTGTTTTAAGCTATTGCGCGCGCCGTTGGCACGCTTCCCCAAAATGACTTACTTTCATCAAATTTTATCAACAATCATATTTCCTAACTCAATAAACCATTTATAATTCATATTTGAAACCTAGATCTCAAAACTCAACAAGCACATTTTACGGTGCAATCGTACCGCGGTATTTTTACCCGCGAAAAACACTATTCACTGATTTTTCTGAAACTTGCCTATCCACTCAATTTTTCGTTCTGAATCCATTTCCAGGGTTATTTTTATCATCTGAGACCTTCTACTCAATTTTTATCTTCCTAGGGTTGTGTGTTGACAATTTATCGTTTTGCCCTTTCTTTGTATTCTGGCCTAATCTTTAGGATTTTCACTAATCCATCACTTAATTATTCACTCAATGTATTAATTACTTAATTTAGAATTGTGAGGTGTTATAGAGCTCAAATGGAAAATGTTTGTACATGAATATGTCTTAGAATGATGTGTAGGAACCATAAATGCAATAAAAATTATTGGTGAAAAATATGATTTTTAACTTAGAAAAATTTTGATGGTGTCATGACTTTGTGTTTGGAATTGTTGTTAGGATTGTGTAATTGGATTGTTGGAGGTGTATATGAGTTAATAATGGGATGATAGGATGTATTACATTGCTAAATTGAATTGAATGGTCCTTGGTGTGGGCATTTGTTGATTTCGACCAATAAGGAAAAATAAGGGAAATGATGTTGTTGAAATTATTTGGATGATGTGTTGTGTATTGTATGGTAATTAGATGGGTTGTATGGTGGTTGGAAGGTTGGAAAACCAATGGAAAAATAATTGATAGTGTTGAGAGGTGAAATGGAACCTAGAGTGAAATATTAGGCAAAACAATGTTTGAATGATGAAAAATGAAAAATGGCACTTGATATGACCTTTTGGTAACCTAAGGATGCCTAAGAAAATGAGAAAGAAAATTTTGAAAAATAAATTGCAAATTAACACTATAGAGGTCGAACCTACATTGTGTAGGGGAGGATTTTTGACGTTTTCGTATTTTGAAAGATTTTCCGTGTATTGGTGATTCGTACATGGTTGTGGTAGGTTGTCGTACGTAGATTTGAACCCCGAACCGTGAGTTCGGTGGATTGTCCTTGGTCCCGGACCAAGTGGGATTGAGGTGAGTAATTGGAACCATGCTTGTATAATTGGTAACTTGCATGTGTTTGTATGAATTGTAAGTAATTGGGAATGTCCTCTGTGTAGGCATTTCTGCTGTATAACGAGTTCAGAGAATACATTACTGGCAGCTAAGTGAAGAGGACTATACAGGTAACCTCTTGGTACTGGGGCTTGATCCCCTTGGGTGTTCCACCATGCCCGTTGAGGGTGATGGTAAGAAGTGTATGTAAGTAATGTAGAATAACATGATCATGCATGTAGTATGTATGTTGGTACATAGGATGTACCGAGTCTCTGGCCAGTAGACAGTTTGCCTTCGGGCGTTGCGGACTTCCACTGGATAGGTCTCCGAGAGGGAGTCCCAGTTGACCTAGGGTCGTGGTGTGTGATTCGGATAGGAGTACACTAGGAAGTCTCGGGTGTATATGGATGGAGGGTGCCTCGGTTGGATGTTCTAGGAACATGCCTTGGTTGAGACCCGTAGGCTTATATGCCGAGCCATTAGGCAGGACGTTGTAGGGGTGTTCGCGGTATGGATTAGATCGGTTTTGGAAGCAAAAATCATCTGATCTAATCCCTTCGGTTCGATCATATAATCATCCATTCGGTTTGGATTTTTTTCAAATCTGATCCGATCAATCCAATTTTTTCGGTTTGGATTGGATCGGTTTTCGGTTTTTTGAAAATCCTAAAATTTATTTCATAATTATTATGCAAATAACATCTTTTGTATATATTGGCTTCGTAAATTATTATTTTTTAAATACAAAAGCATAAGTAAACTATAATATAATTTTTTTTGGGCAATGAGATATGAAGCTCTACAAAGATAAAATTTTGTTGATGAGATGTGACTAGATTTTTTCGTGGGTTTAGTTGATAACCAATGGGTTTTGGGTTTAGAAATTTTTGGGATATGATTGGAAAAAAGACCCAAGTAGGTAGAGGGGAATTAATATATTGGATCAGTTTTCATCAACCCATCCAAAAACCGATCCAATCCAATTAAAATTTGTAGTTTTTTTTCGGTTTTCGGTTTTTCGGTTTTCGGTTTATTCGGTTATCGGTTTTTCGGTTCGGTCACCGCGGTTTGAATCGGTTTGGATCGGTTGATGAACACCCCTAGGACGTTGCATGGTATTGGTAGCGACCATTCCAGCTTCGTCGTATTTTATATCCCTATGTTCCCCAGTTTCTCTAAATCCCTTGCTATATCCCGTTTTCAAGATGTTATTTTATGTTACTTATATGCATCGAAGTGAGTCATTGGGCGGAGTTTTCTCCGAAACCTCTGGGTTACTGAGATGTATTCTTATATCTCACCCCGTCTTGGGGGCTTCATTTCAGGAGGTAGCAGTGGCGCAGGAGCGGCGGACAAGAAACCCGTAGGATGATTAGCCGGAGTTTCATTAGTATTTTGCATTTTGATGGCCATTGAGCCTAGGCTAGACTTAGGGCATGAATATTGTATATGTTGTTAGGATGAGATTTGTGTCATATTTGTTCATGCTATTTTTGCCTAAGTCTAGATACATATAGTTTATGACATTTGGAGACTTATGAATTATGTTGTAATTTGGATAATTGTAAATATTGTAATTGGATCTTGTGTAATGTGAAGCATATATAATATGATGAAAGGGAAAATGCCTATTTTAGGATTATGATTATGTGTATGATTAGCAAATGCATGCAATTGTACTTTGATGATTGAAACGTATTAAGTATTAATAAAGGAAGCAATGTGATACGTATTGTATAAGTAAAATAAACTGTGATGGGTTGTAAGTGCCCCAAGGCATTGTTGGTCCTTGTGTGTGCCACCCAATGATTATTAGGTACGTTTGAGGTCCTAGATCACATTAGCAAATTTGGGGATTTTGGTAAAAACAAAGGAAACTCTGGCGAATTTTCTAGAAATTGACATAATTTAGGCGAACTTCAGGAGAACATATCTCCCTCCACAGAAGTCCGATAGGGACGTGCCATATGCCATTTTGAATCTTGAGATGTTCTCTATCTTGTGGTAAAATTTGGTAAAATTCCGGGTTGGACGTCGGCCTGTAGAAGACAGAGAGTTCAGACTGCCCATTTGCTCACTGCACATGTGGCAGTTCTGGACCGGTTTTGGGAAATTTATTCCCTCTTCGTTTCTTAGTCAAATTAAGTGTATGATATATCAAATTGAATATTGAGGTGTCTAATTTGTTGTATAAAAATTTGAGAGCAATTGGTTGATTGAATTTTCTGCAGTAATTCGTAGAGTGAGGAATGTTTGGTGCTGTTTTGGGGTTGGTTGGCAGTTTTGCTTGTCCAACTTCAAACGGCGATATCTAGAGCAAACAAACTCTAAATAACTCATGTGATAGCTTCCTAGAAAGGTAATTGAGTGTAGAATAACATATCAAAAATATGGGAGGCTTGTAGAATGTGGTTTATCCGCAGAAAATTAAAGATCAAACCATGTTCGGAAGGGTAGAAAATGTAAAAGTGAGAATTATGCTAAGTGGGTTTATAGGAACCCCTTAGTGACTTGTAGTAAGTAAAATAAGTTATAAAAGTAGTCTAAATAAGTATTCCGCAAAGAGTTTACAATTACGATCACAACTTTTAATTATTACGCTTTTTATTGTTTTAAATACTCGCGTAATAACGAAAAAAGTTTACTCGGATTTTTATAAATAAATTGCTGTGATTATAACTGCGCTTAATATCATAATTAATGTTAACAATACCGGTGTACAACGTATTCTTACATTCCTCCTTACCGAACTTATTTCCCTCTCTTTTACTTTTTCACAATCTAAAAGGTCCCGCTTTTTTCCAAGTTATCCACGCTTCCTTTTTCATATTCACATTCATCATCATCTTCTTCTTTGTTTCTCTCATGCCCTAATCACTCTTCAACCACATCGATGCTTTAACATGTAGATTTTTACGCTTTCGAAGAATATCTGAATATTCTTCAAAAAAATTGCATTATTTCTTTCTTTCGCTCATATTGGAAGGAGAGATAGAATATGGGTTCTATGAACGATGATGCACGGCTTATGGAAGAGGGTCTTCTTCAGGTTGCCTTCACTCCATTTTTCATTCTCCATAATCTTGTTAAGTTTGCTTATATGAAAAATTCTTTCTTGTTGGTTCTATGAATGTTCTAGCAGATGGTTACTGGGGACGATACTGGACAATTGCTATTTTCTCTACGATTTATTTCATTTTGGGTTTAGATGTTCTATTAGGATTTTTTTATTTGTGGGTTTAGATGTTTAATTGTGAATATTTTTGGTTTCAGCTCCGCAAATTGTAACGATTAGGATTTTGGATGGAGGAGCTGTTCGTTTATCTCAAAGACAGAGCTTGGTAAATTCCCTCAACACTAAACCTCAACGCAATGATTCTCTTGTTCCTCTCGCAGCAACTATTGTTGCTTCTGGTACGTCTCTTCTATTATTAAATTAAATTAAATTGTATCTAAATTGCTTCTTTAGTTTTTAGAATTATATTAAGTTATTGTTCATCTATATTTAGAACTATACAAAGGTTGAATGATACACACACGCTGGCACACATAAGCAAATGTATATAAAATGTTATTTTAGGCATATATAAGCATCCAACCTGCTTCCTCGCATAATACAAGCTGTGGTATATTTAGTGATATACACTTCCAGTTAACTTTTAACTTTCAGCTAATGCATACTAAGTTAAATTTCACTCTCTTTTTTTAATCATAATAGAAGTTATGCTATGTCAAGAAAATATGAAGTATTAAAGAAAGCTATATACTATTAGTGTATTTATATTATATCTAACAAAGCTATATACTATTTCTGTATTTATATTATATTTGTTGTGAGAATTGGGGACAAATTTATATAATGAGTACATTATCCATTAAAATTAAAAAAAATAAAATGCTATACATGGTTTGTTTTATACGCGGGTAACCTGAGCAATAAAATTGGTTTATATAAATGTGGTGAAAGAATGACTAAGTGAATGAGAGGGAGGCTTGGTTAATGGCCTTGGACAAATGGCCATCATGCATGACTTGCCTTTGCCAAGTGGCTTTCATGCCTAAGGTTCTCATGTTAAGTGTTGAACATGCAACCATGGTGAATGAGGTGTCTCAGCCAAGTGAATTTGTGTAGAAATTGCATGTCCAATATTATCTAAGTGCCACACAAGAGAGAGTGGGCCGAGGAGTCCATGAAAGCATGATGGGGTGGGAATTTAGGATTGGGTCGAGAATTTCTTTGAGGAATACAAGGTGAAACTTTTATTTATATAGTAGGGATCTTCATATGGTAGGGATATTTTTTTGTATGTATAATTCACTTAATTTTTCATTTAGATTGGGTAATTTATTTAGTTAATTTAACCATGTAAATTAATTGTCAGCAATGAACTTTATTTGTGCCGGTAAAAAGATCCAGTGAGCTCAATGCGAAGATTGTCTCATTTTTTTAATTCTAACATAGGGGCACACCTATATCTAGAATTTGATGTTAAGTCCTGCCTGTGATTAGCGTCTCAATTTCAGTGTCTTGGTTTGAAGTGAAATTTACTATTTATCCAGGGAATTATGATCATAACCCGTGGTTATGAGGGTTGTAATTGATTATTGTTTTTTTTTTTTACAATGTTATATTGGGGGATGCTATGATACTAATAACTCTTTCCTCTGGTTGATTGCGTTACTCTGTGGAGGTGGAGGTTGCTTCTCTGCTCAAATGCCCATAATCCGCAATATCCTGGTTTACAGTCAGAGTATCTAGAGCTATGGAACTTTGGTTATACAAACCTTCTTATTTTAATGGTTTTTCTTTTTGTTATTCAAGCCTCTTCGGCCTCCTATATTTGTGTCTTATATTTATTTTGTTAATGCTTCAGTATGTGATGATTTTGTCGAATAGGGGAGTGCCTATTGCATTTGGTGGCACTGAAGAGCCAATTGATATGGAGGAAAAGAAAAAGAACCAATAACTTTCATTTGGTTATTGTCACGAAATAAGTCTAGTGAACTTTATTTTAATACATTAAGCTGTGCATGCGAGGCATCCTTATTCTTTGATAACAAATTAGAGATATCTCATATTTAATGCCATTTGTTTAATACAGGTACTAGAGATTCATCCCACTATTAAATGGACAAAGGGAAGGCCCTGGAATTTTTGTTAGAGTCAATCGATGAGTTTTAATCTAATACATTCGATTTTGGTTCTTGGTTTTATTTGTAACAGATAAACATGCAATATATGTTGGGAAAACTCGGTTCCCTCAAGCTCGGCTAAGGGGCCTTTGTGCGGAAGTCAATCAACAAGATCCTGATCTCGGATCTCGGCAATACCTCAGCCTGAACTTCACCAGGTCAGGCAGCGCAGCGGAAAAATCAAAACGTAAACACAGGAGGGAGAGAAGAAGAACACAACCAGATTTAACGTGGGAAAACCTTCTTCAATGAAGAAGTAAAAACCCACGGGACCTAGTCCAGATCAAAAATCCACTATGAAAATAATGGTTACAACGAATCAAATACACCAATGTGGTGGTTAACTCAACCTCTCCAACAATGGTGATAATCAAACTACTCTAGAGATGTTTAACTCAAACTCTCTCTAGAGATTTCTCAAATGCAAAGCATAAAACCTTGCTCAAACAATCAAATAATTCTCTCAAATTTGTTCTCTCAAATCTGACCTAGCCTCCACCCACAACTAATGAGTATATATAGAGGAGGTGGAAATTAGGGTTAGGGTTTTTAGGAAACCCCTCAAATGGGATTGGGCTTGCATTGAAGGAGGCCCAACGATATATATATATATATATATATCCTACAGTTTTTTACTGAACTTTTAAGGTGATCCATTATGATGAACAAATTGTATAGGACACTAAAGTAATAACACATTAGATTTTATGTTGCTGATTATTTTTATTTCTTGTCTGTGTGTGGATATGGTGGATGGGGACCTCAGCAACAACTTCAAGCACTCATGAAAACGCTTAACAAAATAGAGCCTCATTACATTCGATGTATCAAGCCAAACTCTTTGAATCAACCCCAACAGTTTGAGAATACCAGCGTCATACACCAGTTACGCTTGGGGTCAGTAGTTTAGATATTCTAGCTCATTTACTGTTATCTTTCAAAGTTTAATTTATTGTTTTCCATTGACATCTAAATCATTTTCAACAGGATTTGCCAACTATAATGATGTCTTTCCTGTTTATATTGGTGATGATAGAACCGATGAAGATGCATTCAAGGTATCCCATGATCTTAACTGATATATTTTTTTTCAATTGTTATTTCTCTAAAAAATTAGTGCTCTGTTAATTTGTAGACCAAGTATATTTGTTAGTTGATTGTCTATTGTTTTATAATAAGCAGGAAATAAGAGACAAGGGACAAAGGTTTTGGTATTCTTGTCTCGAAATTTTCGAAGCAAACAACTACATGAACCCAATGAGGCAAGTATAATTTCCTTATTTCATCTATAATGATATTTTATATAATATGTAGCATCTAAAGTAATATTATATATATATATATATATATATATATATATATATATATATAATTTCTTTGTTTAATATGCAACATCTAAAATAATATTATAATGTGAGCACATTTTATTTTACACCAAACATGAACTGCATTTATGCATACATAATTTGTTAGTGATATATTATTTGATGGGAACATGAACTTCATGTGGGTCTTTATGCATACATAGTTTGCTGCAGCACAAATTGGACAGACGTTCTGAAAGGCTTTTCTTTTCTCATTATTTTTTTAATTTATGCAGATGAAAATGATGTTTATGTGGTTTCTTTGGATGAGCAATTGGAAGGCTACACTGAAAAATAAATCAGTGATTTTGTCACCCAATAAATCATATTATACTTGTCCATGAGTTATCTATTATTTGATATTTTGATCATCGTGTTATATAGGAAAATGACTTTGTCTTTGTTTTCTTATTCATCTTTGATAGGCGGATCAATTGGGAGATTTACCTGTTTATGTTTGCAGAAAGCAAGTTCATTGTAGGTCTTTTGTCTCAGTCATAATGTCAAAAGGGCAATGAGGGTTTAAGTGAAGGAAAGCCTTGATCACGGAAGAATATTTCAAGTTCATCCACTTAAAATCATGATCCATGTGTATGAAGACAAAGATTCTGATATTAAGTCTACACAACTTATCACTCTTAGGTTTAAATACTTGGTGAAGTTGAACATTGTATGTGTTGGATTAGAAGGATTGTGTATTGATATAAAGTTCAAAAAAAAGACTGAGAGGAGATTTAATGTATTGTTATGTTATTGACAAAGTTGAACATTATATGATATGAACTTTTGTGCATTTAATGTATTGATTAATGAGATTTAATTTTGATATGTTATTTACTTTGATTATTTTTTTTTATCAACTGCAGTACATAAAAGTGGTATTGATTTTGTAGAGAGAAATTAAAAAAAAAAATCAATTTTGTTTTGAAAGAATTCATTTTTCGTCGAAAATATTATAACAATTTTCAACGGAATTCCATTGATTTTCTATCGAAAATTTTCAACGGAATTCATTTTCTGTTGAAAACCATTATAATAATTTTCGACGGAATTCCATTGATTTTTCGTCGAAATTTTTTGACGAAATTCGTTTTTCGTCGAAAACCATTACAACAATTTTCCATTGAGGAGCTGCTCCCTGTCTTCCTTCTGTTGCTCTTGGAATTTGATGAAGGAAGATGAGAGTTGGTCCAATCCGTTCCTTAGAACCTTCAACTCTTTAGTAGTGCTGGTCATGTCTAGCTGAGGAACGGATGGTGCTTCAGGTAGCAGCTTTTCCATCTTCTTCCCCATCATTTCAAAAATCTCAGCAATCCCAATCTGAGATTTTCTCCTCGATGCGATGGGGATTGCTGGAATGGGTCATTGTCTTCACTATCCTCCTCCTTGTCAAAGAGGGTGATGAGCTTCTCAGAGGATGCTCCCTCTAGCCTTTTGGTGCTGCTGAAGGATCTCTTCAGCCTCTGACTGGAACGTTCCCCCTTTCTTGGGGGAACTTTGGCAGGGGATTTCTTTTTTCCCTGTTTGCTCTCAGTAGCAACAGGGGCTTCCTTCTTTACCTTGGTGGGAGGGGGAACGGTTCTTCTTGCCTGGGTGTAGGAAGAAGTGGTTGTTGATTTTGAAGGGGTGACCTTCGTGGTTGTCTTCTTTGGGGCCTCAGGGCCCTCTTCTTCATCATCATCAACAACATTGCGCCTGAATCCTTCAAGGACTGGAATGTCTGTCTCGATATAAGTGCTCCTCAGACCATTCCAGGTTTTAAAATCGATGACAGATCCCACCACAATGTCATCATCTTTGTAAGTCTTCGATCCAGCTCTTAAACAGAACTTCGTAATCAGGCAGGGAAGGCAGACAGTAGTCTTCCTGATCTCTTTCTTCAGTCTGCCATAGATAAGGGGTACTGCATCAAAAGGAATGTTCCTCATAATGCAATATATTTGTACTTGGAGTGCCCACTTGACAGTGGTATCGTGGGTGGAGGGAGTGAGGTTAGAGTTAGCAAACAAAGCCCAGAATCTGGCTTCGTCTCTCAAGCTCCCCTTGCAGAGGGCTCCTTTGGCATAAACAGGGTTGCCAATGGTGATCAGGTCCTTCACGTCCCACGTGAACCTTGAAACCTCTCTGCTCTCTCTCTCTCTCTATGTATTCTTGGTATGGCCATTTGGGAACGGTGGGGAGATTGAGTACTTCCTTGATGGCTGCAGGGGATAATGATACTTTCTTTCCCCTCACAGTCACCTCAACAGTGGTGTACCCCTCAGGCAATCTCTTTGCGTGATACAAGAACTTAGCCACCAAGGAGGTCAACACTTCTCGTACGTCTGTGGCAAACAAAGTCCACCTGAGGCTGGTTAAGGCTTTCTTCAAAAATGATGGAAGATGAGCCTTGTCTTGCAAGAAGATGTTTCTCTCTGGGTAGAGAGATACAACTTCTTCGGTGAGTTCTGGCTCTAGGCCACGGCTAGCCACAGGGGTAACAATTACTGAAAGTCTAATCATGGTTATGGAAGAAGGAAAGGTTAGGGCAAAATGCAGGAGAAGGGTTTAATAAGAGCAAAAGTTTCTAAGTTAGTAGAAGGTAGTAAGGCTTTGAAGGAGAAATGAGATGAGTTTAAATAGGCATGCAGAGGAGGGAAAATGAGGAGTTTTTCAGGACGTGGAAGTTAAAGACAGGAAGTTAAGGAGGTAGTGGAAGGGGAACGTTATGGAACGAGTGGTCAGGGTTAGTGGTATTCACCTGCTACTGATGGTGGTAAGGAGGTGGAACATTTTAGGTTACAAACGTGGGAGAAGGGGAAATAGGGTAGGAGTAGTTGCATTAATGGCTGAGGAGATAGTTTCTTTTTCAGGGCACGTTTTCAAAATATGCAATAAGTGCAAATTTGATAACGAATGCGAATATGTAAGTGACTCAGCAGGGACAGGTGTCCTTGTCACTCTTATCTCCTAAGCCAGGGAACGTTCCCTTAGTCTTTTACCTATACTCTAAAAAATAACAATAATCATAATAATATACTAATTCCCAATAATTAAAATGCAAACCTACTTAATAAAAGAAACCGAAATATGCATTGTAAAGAAATACTACTTATTTATTAAGATTAATATTAAAATTGCATTAAATTTTTTTTTTTTTATGGAAATGTGAGGTTATGGAACCACCCCAAAACTACGTTCCTGGAACGAAACGTATCTTATTTGGACTTGGAGTTGAACATCAGACGTTCCCTCTATTTTGGGAGCTGTGTGGTTAAGTTTAACCACCCCAAAACTTTGCTCTTTGTGTAAAGGGCAAAGGTATCCACTGGGTTGCCTCTTAGTCAGCGCTTAGTTTAATGTCTTTAGCTCGACATGTTACTTACCTCTCATTCTTGTGGAGAAGAGGTTGAGGGAACTTCAGTATCCCCTGGTAGTTTTCCTGGTATCCTGGTGTCGAGGCTAGCAGCTATCTGTCCCAGGTCGAATTCAATATTTCTGACCACAACATCATTCCTGGTGACATACTCTTTGACATAGTTTTCCAGGGTGTTGATGCGTTGGTCATCTCTTTTGAACGGAGCATAATTGGTTCTTCTTTGTGGTTCATATGCTCCATTTCTGCTGCCTTGTTGATATTCCTGCTGTTGATTATCGTATGGTCTTTGGTTTGTGGGTGGTCTCCATTGAGGATTATGGTTCTGATCTTTCACTATGGCTCCTCCAAGATTTTGATTATTGTTGCTTCCTGCTTGCTGATTGTCTCTGGATTGGGTGAAGTTTCTGTTCCCAAAATTTTCTGCATAACACACCAAGGCAGTGGATGGGCAGTCTGCTAAATCATGAAGATCACCACAGGCTGAGCAGGGTTCACTCTCAGTTGCTGTGAGTTGTAAGACTTCCATCCTTGGTTGTTCTTGATCAGCTTTTAGATTCTTCACCTCATTCATCAATGTGGCCAGTTGGGATTCCATGGCATTTTGTTTGTCTAATTCTAGCATGCCTGGCTTCCTTACTGGGCTCACCCTGTCTAGTGGCCATTGGAGACATCTTTCTACAGTGCCTTCTATGATTTCGTACCTGGATTCAAGAGTTCCTGTAAAGAAATATCCTCCTGCAGCAAAGTCTAAATGTGATTGAGAAGTATGATCAATCCTTTAATAAAAAGACTGTAAAATTCCCTAACTTTCCACCCCATGGTTTGGACACTTTCTAATGATGTCCTTATATCTCTCCCAAGCTTTATAGAGATTTTCTCCATAAAATATTCTAAAATTAGACAGCTCTGCTCTAACATCAGCTTGGCGAGACATAGGGAGAAATCTTTCTATGGACTTATTAGAAAGTTCCTCCCAAGAGTGTATGGAACCAGGGGTGAGAGTTTTCATCCATGTTTTTGCTTTCGAGCCCAAGGAATGAGGAAACAACCTCATTCTCATACTTTCCTCTGTTACACCCCCAGTTCTAAAATTATCACAGATATCTTGGAAGTTTGTGAGGTGTGTGTAAGGATCTTCTGTAGGGAGTCCATTGAAGACTCTTGCTTCACTAATCATGTGAAACATGATAGGTTTGAGTTCAAAGTTGGGAGCTAATGGGGGAAGGATCACTCCCCTTTCTGGTCTGTTCCTGAAAGGAGCAGCCAAAGCTCTGAAGTTCTGTTCAGGAGGAAGTTCATCATTATTGTTATTATGATCAGCCATATTTTCACAAATATTTTCCCTGAGATCTCTTCTTCTCCTATGTAAAGTACGTCCTGGTTCAGGGTCAAAGAAGAATTCAGGTATTTTAGTGGAGTGGTGAGAATCTGTTTCAGACTCTTCACTCATAAACCATAAAACACAGATAATATGAACAACAGGATATGTGACAGAATAAAAATAAGACAAATGAAAATGGAATATACAGAGTATGTACTTAA